TTTGATAGTTATATAGTTGTGTTTGTTGGATGAGGCAAACCTAGGGTTCTCCTACTCCACTGCCATCTTCGTCTCCACTTGAAATCTTCTAAGTTCATGCCTGGTATTAGGAAAGTTCAGTTTCTTGTAGTTAGAGGGTGAAAATAACCAATTTTTTGATGGTTGTCATGTGGTGACTTTTCTCAGCTTTTAGAAATTGCCCATGTTCCTCATTAGATGGCCTCTTCCATCCTCAAGCCAGTGATAGTTCATCAAGTTCTTCTCATGCTTCAAATCTGACTTCCCCTAGTGCCACCAACTGGAGATAATTCTCTGCTTATAAAGGTGTACCAAATATGATTAATGGTAATAAAAGAAGGAGAGGAGAGAAAATGCAGAAAGGATATTTGAATAAATATTGGCAAAAAAACTTCCCACATTTTATGACAATCTAGTCATTCAAAAAAGTCAACAAATTAGGGTGCATGGGTGGCACAGTCAGTTAAGTGCCTGACGCTTGGTTTCAGCTCAAGTTGTGATCTCAGGGTTATGAAATCGACTAGTGTGTCAAGCTCCATGATCAGCACAGAGTCTGCTTGAGATTATCTCTCTTTTTCCCTCTGTGCCTCCCACTTGTGCTCTCTCTCTTTTTCTCTCTAAAATAAATGAATAAATCTTTTAAAACAAACATCAACAAATTCCAGGTAGAATAAACTGGAGATTGATACATCACAATCAAATTGTCAAAAGCCAAAGCCAAAGAAAAATCTTCAAAATAGGGAGAAATTACTCATTTTGTACAGAGTATCCTCAAAAGATTAAGAGCTATTTCATCAAAAGTATGGAGACAAGAGATCATTGTAATGCAAATGTTACTACATTTGATGGAGTCTCTGAGTTCCCTAAGACTATCCTAATTTTGCATAATTTTTTCTCTCACCTGCTCAGCTTGATTACTTTCTATTACTCTGTACCCCACGTCACTATTTCATTATTCTGCTTCTTCTAGCCTCGTATTTATTCCATCTAGTGGAATTCCATCTATTTTTAATTTCATTTATTGTGTTCTTCATCTCTGATTGGTTATTTTTTAATCTTTTTGTTAAGGGTCTCACTGATATCCTCCACTCTTTACTCAAGTCCAGTGAGTATCTTTATGATCATTACTTTAAACTCTGTATCAAGCATATTACTTATATTGACTTTGCTTAAATATCTTTCTGTGATTTTGTCCTATTCTTTCATTTGGGATATATTCCTCTGTCTCCTCATTTTTCCTAACTCTCTGTGTCTGTTTCTCTGTGTTAGAAAAGTCAGCTATGTCTCTGCTTTTGAAAGTGATGGTCTTATGAAGAAGTCCTACAGTGCCCTGCAGTGCAGTGTCCCATGTTCACCAGAAACTGGTGCTTCAGTGATATCTCCTATGTGTGTTGTGTGCACTTTGCTGTTATATCCAAAATACATAAACAACTTATGAAACTCAAGAACAATAAAAAACACAAAAATAATCCAATTAAGAATGGGCAGAAATCATGAACAGACATTTTTCCAAAGAAGACATACAGATGGCCAACAGACACATGAAAAGATGCTCAACATCTCTCATTATCAGGGAAATGCAAATCAAAACCACAATGAGATATCACCTCACACCTGTCAGAATGGCTAAAATCAAAACCTCAAGAAACAACAAGTGTTGGAGAGGATGCGGAGAAATAGGATCTCTCCTGCACTGTTGGTGGGAATGAAAACTGGTGTAGTCACTCTGGAAAACAGTAGGGTGGTTCCTCAAAAAGTAAAAAATAGAACTACTTTATGACCCAGTAATTGCATTACTCGGTATTTACCCTAAGAATACAAAAACACTAATTTGAAGGGATATATGTGCCCCTATGTTTATTGCAGCATTATTTACAATAGCCAAATTATGGAAGCATCCTAAGTGTCCATCAGTGGGTAAATGGATAAAGATGTGATCTATGTGATATAAATAAATAAATAATTCACTCATAAAAAGGAATGAAATCTTACCATTTGCAACAACATGGATGGATCTAGAGAGTATAATGCTAAGTGAAGTAAGCCAATCAGAGCAAGATAAATAACATATGAGTTCACTCACATGTGGAATTAAAGAAACAAAACAAACGAATGAAGAAAAAAAAGACAAACCAAGAAACAGACTCTTAACTGTAGGGAACAAACTGATGGTTACCAGAGGGGAGGTAAATAGGGACATGGGTGAAATAAGTGAAGAAGTTTAAAAGTACACTTATCTTGATGAGCACTGAGTAATATATGGAATTGTTGAATCAGTATCTTAAACACATGAAAGTAATATAAGACTGTATGTTAACTGACCTGGAATTAAAAAAAAAAAAAACTGATCTGGAATCAAAATTTTAAAAAAGTACAAAACAAACACAAACAAAATTTGGAGGCTAGAAAGCAGTGGGATGATATGTTCAAAGTGCTGAAATGAAGATACTATTAGACAAGAATTCAATATCCAGTGAATTTATTCTTCAAAGTAAAGAGGAAATTCATAGGTTCCAAAATAAATAATGAGACATTTTATCAGCAGCAGAACTTCCCTACAAGAAATACTAGGGGGAGTCCTTCAGGTTGAAATAAAAGTACACTAGACAGTAACTCAAATCCAGATGAAGAAATAAAGAATTCTGGTAAAGGTAACTACTTTGCAAATATTAAAGAATTTTATAATGCAGTTTTATAATTCTTTTTTCCTATTATTTGATTAAAAAGAAAAATGCATAAAGCAAAATATATATATATCTATGTTGATAGCATAAAAGGTTTAAGATTTATATAATAATATTAGCAAAATGGCACAGGCAGCTGTGATGGGGCAATTGTTTTTGTATATAATTAAAATTAAATTGGCATTAGTTGGAAAAAGATTGCTATACATTAGGATGTTGATTTTAAATATCACCAGGGCAACCAATAAGAAAAAAAAAAAGACAGAAAGGCAGACTGCTATATGCAGCACCTCATTTGGATGTGTCTGGTGTCTTGGAAGCTTGACTACCCTATGTTCTCCTATAAATGGACCTTGAGAGCTTGTTTGGAGGTTCTAGCAGGGGAGTGCATCTACTTATATAACCTTGACCAAAAAATAGTCCTTCTCTATTGGGGAAGGTCGTTCTCTTTGACTGAGTGTGCATCTTTGGGAGGGATGCACATGAAGCAAATGAGGGAGGAGGGGGCCACCTGCCTAGCCAGCCAGATCAGCTGAATCAACCCTGGCGATCACTGGGGTGACAGATGTCAAAGCCAGATTGCCCTCACATCCAGAAAATTTTAAAGTAGAGTAAAAAAACAAACAAAACAGTAATATAGTAAAGAGAACAAGGAAATTAAAAATAGTACACTAGGAAATAATATCTATTTAACACAAACTTAGAAATGTAGATCGTCTTTAATTAAACAAAAAAAAAGACATGCCATACAAAAAACAAAATGGCAGATGTAAATATTACCTTATCAATAATTACATTAAATGCATTAAACATTTAAAAGGCAGAAAATTGCAGAATAAAAGAAACATGACCTCCAATATGCTGTCAACAAGAGACATGATTTTATTTTTTATTTTTATTTATTTTTAAATTTTATTTTATTATGTTATTCACCATACATTACATCATTAGTTTTTGATGTAGTGTTCCATGATTCATTGTTTGCATACAACACCCAGTGCTCCATTCAATATGTGCCCTCCTTAATACCCATCACCGGGTTAATCCATCCCCCCACCCCCCTTCCCCTCTAAAACCCTCAGTTTGTTTCTCGGAGTC